AGGCGTTGACTCGATGAATAGAGCGAGAAAGAGAGAGAGTGACGAGCTCATTCGAAGGTGATCTATTTTTTTCGGCTTTTCAGCAACAATACATCTTCATCCATCACTGCATACTTCATGCCATCGAGTCAATCGCTTCTGAACGTACCGCGATGACAACTGAATTACATCAGAATCCCGTATTCGAGGACGATGATACCATTGCTGAGTCGGATTTCTAGCTATGCCGACTTCATCCGACGTCTGCACACATGCATTTCTCATCAACACGATCAACATACAGTTCTAAGCCTTTCAGTTTCCCAGCCAGCGCGCTTTTTTCAACAATTTTGTATTTTGTATTTATTATTTTTATTAATGCTCTCTTTAACGGGTTTCTCGGTTCATTCAGCTGTAGTTATTTCAGCAAACAGCGCGCGCGTATCCCACCCCCAGTTGACCTCAATCGATTATTGATTTATTAATAGATTGAATACTTTCACGGGTTCATTTTTTATTAGGTAATCATAGATTTTTCTCTGAAGAGTTTATTATTGATTGGTTTGTTTTGTAATGTATAATATTAATATATATGTAAATGTATTGTATGTATATTCAGTGCCTTTGAATACTATAGAATAAAAGTTACTGATTCACTGTAAAAAAGGGCAAAATCTCCGGCGTAAATCAATCCGTTTGAGGGATGCGCCCCGCATTCGACTTCTGTTCGGAATCATAGTGGCGATTTTAATGCGTATATGGCATATACAATGCCTTGCTTGACTATGTGGCCAGCCACTGTACAAGTCAGTGCTTTTCTCGTCCCAGACGAGTTTGAGACCAATTAGCCAATCCCAGAAGGATGGAAGGCTTGGTTGCCCTAGGCGGATATCGATCCTGCATTCAATCCTTGGACCATGCGTATGTTATAGTCACTTGCCATTACACCACCTCCACCCTGATTCCCCGCAATATCGCATATGAACGTGATGTCAAAGTGCCATGAAAAAACCCCATGAGTTGCCAAGCAATGACTTTTTCTAATGAACTAATCACCACTGCGTTAAGTGCTTTCTGTCATATTGAGAATGTCACCAATAAAAGTTGATGTGAGGGCGTCAATTCCGCCAACAAGTCCACATAATAATGATGTCACTTTGGCATTTTCCGTCTATTCATTATATTGGAAATTGATAAAAAAGTGAGCTAGATAGCAAAAGGAAAATAACTGAACTTTCATCACTAATAGTCTTGTTCTGGGAGAGGGAGGTCGCATCTTATTTAATAACTCTCAACACTCAAGATTAACGTCTGTTCGAATGTTCATAAGGTCCCCTAGGACGAATTTAAATTCAACAAGGCGAAAATTCACAGTAAAAATATGATAATCTATAATTAATGTATTATTAGTCTACAGCACATCGTCTCTGCCACATCTGACGCAAACTTATCCTTACTAGAGACGAAAAGCTTAGATGACGAGAACAGGAATCTCTGTCTCCATGGTTCCATAAAAGATTACAAGAAGGGAATCTTCTCCTGTAAAGGATTTTAACACCCTATGGTACAATTTTTCTTATTAAGAACTCTCACCAACGTAATGCTTTCCACTTAACCGTGCCTACCCCATTCTGCTAAACATCTGGAAGCCTTCAGAGCCCATCGAAAAACTTAGGTCAGAAAGGTACAGGAATCAAACGCATGGCCTAACTGATGAAGGACTGATCGAAAATATTCTTTTTATTTATTTTATTTTTTTATATATTTCTAGACATTTTTACTGGTCATCGAAGTGGGCAATAGGTCCAAAGTGGTGGACTATCCATATGACAGATTGGGATAGGCCAATCTGTCATCGGGATAGTCCACCACTTTAGACCTATTGCCCACTTCGATGACTAGTAAAAAGGTCTAGAAATTACGACGCTGCAAACATTCGCTAACCTAGCTTAGATCTCAGACCCAAACTTCGTTTTATGGCGTGTCCTGTCTCTACCGGAATTTTGATGAAAAGGAAAAAAAAANAAAAAAAAAATCGAAATTGATGTCAGCCGAGCCCACTCAAGCTTTTTGCCTCCGGAAGGGCCTATCTAATTCCATGGCGATTGGTTTCCATAAGCAGTCTCAAAAGAGCAATATAAAATGACTTGTAAAAGGACTATTATAGTTGCCACCACGTTGGCAAGAGGTCATACATATGGTGAAGTATTATGAAATTCGTGAACTTTGATATCTATCTCAGGTCCTCTTAACAAATAGATCATCCCGATGAGACCAGTGATTACTGAACAAACAAATTTAGATAATCATGAATCATCACTCTACGTATACATATATGATTCTCGTACTGAACGTCACAATCCCCTTAGAGCTAAGACTTGATTACAGACAAGATAATCATTAATAATAACGGCTAACAGCCCACGAAGAAACCCACCAATGCCTTGCAGAAGCAGCAGTCATCTAGGAAGCCTGTAGGATCGCGGGCTTTCCTTCAAGTCGTTATTTTGACAATCCGAGAGTCGTGACTTCTGAAAAACTAGAATTCATCGATAGGGGCCGAGGTAATTGGTAAAAGATGCTGCCTAGAATCAGAAGAAGGTCCGTGTAGAAGAAGGAACACTTCAGCGATTTCCCTAAATTTCCGAAATAACAATAGTGAATGAAGAGGGGGTGGGAGCTGTGGATGTAAGGAAACAAAGTAACATCAGCAGATCCTGGTCAAGCTACTTATTCCTGCTGTTGTATACACTCGGCTTCCTAGACTAATATCGTCACATGGGTGACTCCATTTCTCCCCGAATCCCTTCGACAAAGGCGAGTGGATCCGCGATGACCACCGTACCCTTCTCGTGAGAATTAAAACCTTTCCCTTGAATGCGAGCGATCAGGTGCAGCAATCGTGACGCGAAACCCACACTTCGGTCACATTGGTCAAACTAGGAACCCCACTCTTAAAAAAGTGGTGAAGCTTGATCGTGGCTTAAACCTGTTCGCGGAACAGCCCGAGAAAAACTTATTTTTTACGTTTTAAACCTGCATCCGCCATTTACACAATCATTATTGTTTTTCTACCTTTACTGCAAAATATCTTCAAGGCTGAATATTGATATAAACAAATGAGATGCAATTTCATCCCACGCGGAAACCTTGTTAATGTCGACAGCAATCTTAATCCCTTTCAGGAATTACAGCGCAACAGCGCCAATAAATCACGAACAAACGCCTCATACGATTAAGGATTCATTAACAATAATGTGCNAAATATACATATAGAATCAACAATAAACTATGTAAACAAAACAGATCATGTAACGGAATGCAGAAAAAACTGAGATTAAAGTGATCACCGACAACGAGGATATGTCAAAGGTTGAGCACCTAGATACACACTAATTTGCCAAATTAAAAGGTATATAATTAGCGAATGGAAATGACATTGAGGAGTGACATCATGACTAACAAAAAAGAGCTTAATGGCATGTATGTTCAGTTTACCAAGAATACCCATTCCATAGACCTTTTTCAATAGTTCCATCGATCAACTGAAACATCCATGTCTGGATACGGTCCCGGACAATGAGGGTACAAGGCAGCGAAATTCGGCGCTTGTGGCTGAAGCAGAATTATGATAGAAAAATATGATACGTAGGCTTTTTGAAAAATCTCACCACTTCGTCAAAGGAATCATCCAAACTACGCCTCAACCAGCAAATATACAACAGCAGCAGCAAAAGTAGCTAAAATAAACATATAACATTTGACTTCAGTCACAAGACTTGTGGAACTTCAAACACGATTTATTCTAGTTGCATTTTCCTTTATTACAAATTATATAAGTAGGCTGACAATGCGTTTTTCTCTATTACAAAATTATTATAACTAGGCTGGCAAGTCCTCGGATTGTGCCGCGCACAGCGCTTTTTCAGGTCTCCAAATGGGGAACATTGCACGAGCCAATGCATCGGCTGTTGAGATGAAAAGGACTCTTGGCTTTACAACGCATGATTGCTTTCGCAACTTCCGTAAGTTGTAACCATCTCTTTAATTCGATTACTTCAGAAATCAAGGACCGCTGAAAACTTCCTCTTTATAGCATTTCTTGTCCGTTGCCTCCTGAAGTCAGTCTGGATTCATGTGCAGCGAAAGCAAAATGCCAGGTGGAGAAATAACGCCATTAACCGACTTTTCAAAACCCCAAAAATTCAGGAAGGACTATACAATTTCAAATTCAAGTAGTTCGCATAGAAACAACACTCGAGGGAGGATGTTGTACAATGCCAGTTAAAATGAGTGAAAACATACCGTTACAAGTATTACGAGCACAATCAGAAGGGCGAGAAAGAGGAGGTTCGTTGAATTCGATTTCTGGAATAGCAGACCAAATTATTCAGAAGTATACCAAGATCACCAAAAATGAAAGTTGCTGTGTCGTCACTTCATGCTCAGCTGCGATTATACAGTAGGCTCAAAGAGCTGAAAAAAATGTACCATTCCTTCTCTCAACAGCCATTGCTCCCTTTCTTCAAGGCACGCTGCGGGATCTGCATGTGGTCCATCTCGAATTTGACAATATTCCCAATCCCTGCACAATATTTAACATATTTAAGAAATAGTAAAAAACATAGTAGCTTGTCATTTACGAACTGACCGAATAATTGCCAGATAAGGACTGCCAGGATTTCCAGCACCCCACCGTTCATGGGTAAAACCGCACGACACACCGGTAGCAGTCTCATTCAAATTCCTTATGGAACTGAACAAGCCTAATACCAGACAGAATCTCCATTCTGGTAATATAAAAGTACTTACCGCACAAAAAAGGAGGTATGGTCATCTTGTGATTGTTGTGTGATCAGTACACCACTGGATATACTACAATGTAATAAAGATTAAATCCACAGATTATCAGGAGAGAGTTTCCTACCTTACAAAAGTTCGATCATCACTGTACGAAAGGATTTTCTTGCCAGCCTTCCCCTCTTTGAATGCTGAGAGTAGACGGCTCATCGGCAAAGAATGAATGGTAGTGATTCCCTCATCAGAAGTGGCATAGTACACCTAAGCTTCAGAGCACTATCGAACACAGACGTGACTTCAGAAACACACAAAATAAACATAGTTCGTCTAATTCCTACTGCTGGAATACCATTTACTGCAACTTTAATATGTTCCCTATTCAAAAAAAAAAGCCTAAAACCACAGAAGATAAATAGTAATAGCAAAGAAAAAACGAAAACTGGTCTAGACCATTATAAGGTGAAACTGTTCCGGAAAAAGTCTGTGTCAGCCGTGAACTTTTGGCGTTTTGATTACTTACTTCTTCGCTATAAGGGTCTTCAATCCAACCTTTGCGCACTTTATTTGCTGGGTGTACTACGAAATTGTGGATGAGACTGGTTACAACCCTTTGCGGTGCGGTAGTATCTGAAGGTTAGCAACACATAAAGATAAACTCTACCAAAAATAATAAGTTAATTTCAATTGATGGGAACAAGGCAACGAACACTATGAGTAATTCAAGTAATTTACCTGGAAAAAGATTTGACAGTCGTAGAATGGAACCGTGTAGAGTACCGTTAGAATCATGATTGATTAGGTAAAGTAGCTGATAAGTGTTATCGTATAGCGTGAAATTCTAAAGTCAAATTTGATAAGTCAAGGAACTCGGATTTGCTCATTTCTCAAGTTTGAAGAGACGTCAAAATTAATCCGAGCAAAAGTACTCTATTGGACTGAATAGAGCTAGAGAACTACGTCAAAAAGGTATTCGCCGCTTGAGAAGCAAAAGAACGGCAGACGGTTTTCAAAGTAAGGCATATTCGAAAAAAAAAACATTTGTATACCCAAGTGAAAAGTAAATAGGGCGCTCAAAAGTTTGAAAACAGAAAAGTTGATGAACGCGAGCATATTATTGTTTTCATAAGCGAATTCATCCAAACGTACCGTATTGTACTGATTCATGTACTTGTGCGGTCTGCTTCCAAAATTAATGATACGGGTATATAAGTTTGATGTGCGATTGAAAGAAGGCAGACGAGGAGCCTGAAAACTATTTGTTTGAAATTCGCAAAAAAAAATAGCATAGATGAGAAATCATACGACTATATCCTCAAGAAATGCTACTGTCTGTCCATTACGAAGGCGCCCAATGAACAAAGCTCGAGGTGGTCTTTTTTGCTCAGAATCACGAATCAGGTGCACCCGGACGGGATGATCACACACAGGAACCGATTTCTGTTGTTCCCTGAATATTGAATCGTTGAAAACTCTCGGCGCAGGTGTTTTCGTAAGTTACATACATTTAAAAGAAAACATCAAGTATTGTATCCAGTGAATCAAATTGCCTGGTATGTGATTTATCTATGCTACAGCTCAGCTAAAAGAACCGTGGGTGCAGTCTGTGATTACAGAGCTCTATTAATCCATTACACATAGTATAGTTAATAAATTAATTAAACACCAAGAACAATAATAAAATAATGGACAAATTGGGAATATAATCCCCATGTTTTCACCAAGGGTCAAGGAAGCCTGCTGTCAGCGCCGTAGAGCAACCAACTGAACCGACATGATGCTACGCTCTAGGCAAACCTACAAAGACCAGCTAATCTGCTTTCTGGAACAGAATCGTGGCAGTGATCTGCACAGTGTAGCCTACTTTAGGTTACCCTTTATTTTTTCACGGCGGCTTTCAACACCAGGGCTCAATAGAGCTGCATCATTTTTCCTAGTATTCTCGTTTAGCACTACATAAGTCATCATCCCTCTTGCGTATAGTAAATTGTTAGGAATTGTAAGTCATGAGAAAATAGAAACAGTTGTCCGTTTCCTTGCTGGAATGAATGAATGGGAATATCGAAGAATTCACAAGCCAAAGAATTATGAGCCGAACCCCAGCATGCTCTTGACTGGCTTTATAAAAAACCGAAATACCAGCTGACTACGAAAAAAGAATACACATGTGTCTTTTTACAGTTTTACTTCTTCCAGCCTAAATACAAGACGATTCTTTGTTCTACTCCACCATTCTTTCAATCTTTGAGACGCTCGATTAGAAAAGGAAAGTTGGAAAGGACTTGCCTGGATATAGGAATGAACGCTCTAGGGCAGCTGCGATCATTAATGTCAGACTCATACTTTGTTTGACACAGTTGTTGGGATATGATTATGTACTGATTCGTTCTAAAGAGTCGATTGAAGGAGAAATCCACTGTCGAGCTGACGGTCACTTGAAGAAGAGCTATTCGTAGGAATAAGCGTAACATTGTAAATCTGAAAAAGTCCTACTGGCTCAGTGTTTTCCTGCAATTAAAGTAAAAAGTGTTGAAGTCACGATTTGTTGCAAATTTTCATCTACGTTTATCCATTCCTAGTTCAATTGATGAGAGATTTAGTTACTGTAATGAAAATCAGAAAGTCACCTGACAATAAGTAAGTTGAGACAGGAAAAAAAAGCCATCGGGTTATTTTAGCCCTTATGGATGTTCTTTTTTTTTACCACGGAACAAGAAAGAGATCGCCACTGATTGAAGGAAACGATCCAAAGGTTCTATTGCAACTTTAGCTTTAGAAATAATCCTCAAATCCTAGAGAAGAAATAAAAAAGGAACAAGCTACCGTCTTGAAATGAAAGCTAGAACTAAGGCAGTAGGTCACTTCAACGATGACTCAACTTGGATTAAACAAACCTTTCCAAAGAAGTGGTGTGGATGTAATTGCTTCTGTCGGACGCGGTTTCACCTTATTTAACCACGTTGGTGAGATTGCTGATTTACTCTGCTCTGCTGTCCTCTTATTTTGCCATAAAGAGGAAAAATACACGAGAAAGTAAGGCGCTTGATGAGCTTCTC